AGGGATGTCGGTTGTGCCTCAACCTGCTTCTCTGGGCTAATGACTGAGTTATCATCCTGTCTGCAGATTAGCAGCATCCAGGTGGGAATGAAAACAAGACGTTCAGGAACTGGTCCTCAATCTATTGAAATCACTGATTTTCCCGTTTTTCTAAGACTGTTCATGACCAACTCCAGGGTATATCAAGATGAACTGCACCAGACTGTGAACCAGATAAATAAGATTTTTTCCTCTTGTCTATGGTTCTGATCACTGTTGGGTCAAAGTGTTTACTACAGAAGCACAGCTTCTTCAAGAGTCATCTAAGAAAGAAAAACGGGAGGAGGTTTATTGATTCAAACAAAAGGTGTGTGACCCACAGCATACTACTCTATCCCTTCCTGGAGATTTTACAATGCACGTGGCATGTTAGGGACTCCGAGAAATCTTACAATCAAAATCTTTTCGATTTTTACTTAAGTATGGGATATTTCTTTTTACATAACACTTATAAATACCCCCAAAGGAGTTGTGTTATAAGGAATAGACTTTCAGAATCACTTGTCTGAGTCCTATTTGTTTCTTCATTTCTGCCTGGCCTTCTCAGGGATGGGGGGGGGGGGAGAGAGAGAAACGGGCAGGTGAGGGGAAGGTTGGGGCTCTTAACTGAACCAACTGAGAAGAGAAATTCTAAAGAGATGGATTAAAAAATAAAAGCATCCTCCTGCCCCCAAACCAGGAACTCCACAAAATTTAGTTAGCATTTATTGAGGACATAGTGTCAGATACTATTTTAAGTGCTTTATAATTATGAAAGCATTTAATTCTCAAAACAACCCAGTGAGGTAACTACCACTTTTATACACAGGTAACAGATAAGGAGGCTGAGGGTCGGAGGGAGCAGGTGGAGAAGTCACAATTTGAGCTCAGGCTGGCTGGTTCTAGAATCAGTCTCTTCAACACTGTCAGACTGCCCTCTGAACCCTCCAATGAGAGGCAAGCCAAAGAGATCCTGCATTTCCCCAGCACGGAGACCTAAGTGTCATTCTTGGTTCCCACAGAACCCCTATTCCCTGCCCACCTCCACCCGTTCTTATAGCCCCTCTGCACTTTCTAGTAATGTGACTTAATCTCTCTCTGTTTCAGGTTATTTTCATGTAGAAGATGTAAAAAAAGAAAAAAAATACATACACACTTCAGAGGATGCTATAAAGCATGCTCAATTTCTCTACAGTTGTTGGGCTAATCTCATGAGTCTCTACCTACTGACCCTGGTCTGTCCTCTACGCTGTCAGAGTGACACTCCCAGCACCATTCTCCAGGCTAAATATTGCCAGACACTTGAACTGCGTTTCCCAGACTATGGCTTTCAGAATGTGTTCCCTTCCGCTAATGCTTGAAACAGCTCTTAGGACATGTGGCATTTTGAGTGCGCTTTCTTGAATAAATCATAACAAGAGAATTTTTCTTTTTTTTAAAGTCCTTAAAAGGCTGACATTAATTTCATAAGAGATGAAACAGTCAGTACCTGTAAAACAAAATGTTAAACCTAAAACAGAATTTTATTTTGAAAAGTTCGTTTCCTTTTTTATCTATATTTATTCCTTCCCATAACAAACACTTTAATGCAACAGTTACTGAGTCTTAAGATGGGCCAATTGCCCTGGCCGATTTGGCTCAGCGGTTAGAACGTTGGTCCAGAGAGACTTGGGTTCGGTTCCCGCTAAGGGCATGTACCTCGGTTGTGGTTAGTCCCCAGCCCTGGTTGGTTGTGCGGGTGGCAGCCACTCGATGTGTCCCTTTCACATCAATGTTTCTCTCTCTCTCTCTCACTCTATCCCTCACTCTTCCTCCCACTCTATCTGAACAAAAAATGAAAAAGTGTCCTCGGGTGAGGATAAAAAAAAAAAAAAAAAAAAAAAGATGGGCCAATTACAGGATCAAGTTGGGCATTAGTTCAAACATTTTTCTTCTCAGTCCCTTTAATAAGAACTGAGTCTTTTCTGACGCAAGAAGATGCTTTAAGGAGGACTGGCCAGATGCCCTCTAGATTCCCTTTCTCTTCAGATCTGTGACTCGAGGCTTCTGCAGTTCTGCCCAAAGTTCACATAGACTGAAGTCCTCCTCATTCAAATGCAGGAAGTTCATTACGTGTGTTATTTCAAGGAAATTTCATTTGTAACTAAAATATATATAAATTATAAATATATATATTTCCCATTTCCCTTTTCTTCTAGGGAATTGCTTCTTCAGAAGGTAATTAGCTTGGTTTTAAAAGTGGTTTATTGCCCTAGCCAGTTTGGCTCAGCAGTTAGAGTGTCGGCCTGTGGACCAGAGAGACCCAGGTCCGGTTCCCGCTAAGGGCATGTCTCGGTTACGGTTTGTCCCCGGCCCTGGTTGGGGTCGTGCGGGTGGCAACCACTTGATGTGTCCCTTTCACATCGATGTTACTCTCTTTCTTCCTCTCTCTCCCTCCCACTCTATCTGAAGATAAATGCAGAAATGTCCTCGGGTGAGGATAAAAAAAAAAAAGTGGTTTATTGCCAGTGAATTGAGCACCGTTCTATGGACTGAAGTCCTGGTTTCATTCCTGATCAGGACACATGCCAGGGTTGTGGGCTCCATCCCCAGAAGGGGCGTGCAGGAGGCAGCCAATCAATGTTTTTCTCTCATGTAGATGTTTCTCTTTCCCTTCTTCTCTCACTAAAAAAAAAAAAAAAATCAATAAAAAAAAGTGGTTTATCTACTTATGTTGTTCATTTTCTCATTTGACATGTTAATCCCCTCTCTATCTGCTCAGATAATCCTTTAGTTATTCCCGTCAGGTATACACAAATGTTTCCAGTTACAGAAATCTGGGGCAGCAATATCCCATATTCCGGAAGACCACTAAGAATTCTTGACACGGCGGCAGCCCTTTGGAACTCAGCACAAATAGATGCAGAGGCACTGCTCAGCTTGTCAGGTCCTTTGATGACATGCGCACGGTCTGGGATACATGGGCCCTAAAAGAGCTTTGTGTGTGGACCTCTGATCAAAACGGATAATCAGTCAAACAAGGACCTCCCTCAGAGGTGTTCACAGATAGCAAAGCAGTGAGATCTTTGTTAACAGAGTGGCAAAGCAAAATTAGGGATCAAACGTAGTCTATCTTTCGTGGTCACAGACTCACTCCATTTACTAAAATCTAACAACAGCTAAGGCATTTGTACGTCTCTCCGTTTTTACATGTTGTAGTCACTAGCTAGTCCCATCTTTCTTACAGGAAGTGTTTCTTGGTAAAGGATTTAGGACTTAAATTATGAACGAAATATAAGCAATTACAAAGTATTAAACTCTTAGTAATTAAAGTTAATGTTTATAAGGTCAAACAAATCCTCACATGCCATGTCAATCATACCACATATACAAAAACACACACATCAGATACAGATTCCAATGCAGGCAACATTATTTTTGCCTCACTTTGCGTTCAACTTTATTGAAGGATCCACTACTGCCTTAAAAAATACAGAAACTTCTTGAACATACATCAGTTATCTAGAGGAATAAAGATACTCCACATGCTTATCGTCAAAACTCTGGAAAAAGAGAACTTCTCTCTTCAGTATTTTAAAAATTGGTATCTAAATAATCTCAGTTTAAACTAGGTTAGTAACTTCAGTCTTCTCCATTGAGCTGTTAAAATAGAAAAAAATTCAAGTTCTAAATATAATACTTACATACACATTTAAATAGAAAATGGGAATTTATTTCCTATTCCACTTTTCTGGCCAAAGGGAGATGAAGATTTTTCCTCCTTATTTTCTTATAACAAGTATTGTCAGATTTTTTTTTTTAAAGCAAAATATAACAGAACTTTAGTTGAGAAGACTAATTTTATATGAATGGTATAAACCACAGACCAGTTAAAATAACACAATATAGATTTGCTTTAATAGATGATGTCAACTTTTAAACATCAGTACTTCTCATATCACTTCTGGGTGGCCTAGACCCATTTTTTCTCAACATTACTTCTTTATTTTTCTTCTCTAGAGTTTCCTTTACTTAAAATAATGGCTTGAGGAAGATCACAGGAGACTTAGGGGCTCTGTGCTCTTTTTAAAATGTAGGCAAAGTTGGGCTGACTGATAATGTAACTCATTAAAATGAGCTGTGTTTTCCCAGCGGTTTGAGAGGCCTCGGTTCCTTTTGTAGTTAAATATAGAGAGAGCCCATTCTTCCACCAGCCATTGCAGTGGCTGAAAAAGTTCAGGAAACAGATTACATTGAGTGCTACTGTTCAGAAGAGACTTGCATTTAATGCTGCTGTTATAGGTAAAGTATTTCCTTGAGCAAACATCTCATTTACTCAGTGTTTAGAGAAGACACTGATTTTCATAGCCATAGCTACCTTTCTCGGTGGAAAAGATTTTAAATCTGCTATGATCATTACCTTTCAGTTCTTTTTCTTATAGGCATGCATGTTCTGTGATTTAAACTTCTTAAGTTCATTTAAAATCAGAGAAAGAATTCAAGAGGATAAAAACAAGCACGAAGTAATAAAAAACAAAACAGTTTTGCCATTACATTTTCTCCTGGATAACTTAGCAAATACTTCTCATCTCCTTTCTGTTTCAACACTGCAGAACAGTATACCCATGGCTCAGTGGTGAAGCAATGTGCATATGAGCGGCGAAACATAGAAACCGGAAAATAAAAATATAAATCAAACTCTTAAAATCCTAGTAATACTACAGTAGCTTCTTTCCTTATTTATTCTGTTAATGTCCATTCCACGTGAATGCACGTTTTTGTGCCAGGAGGCCATGCACTGTAGCCTAGGTCACAAAGATCACCATTTGTGGAGGGTACATAGAGTCTGTTGCCAATATCTTCAGGTGGCAAACTTGTGAAAATCTTCTGGAAGACTAATAAAGTCATATTCTGATTATTTGTTTTCTGGATTCAGGGAACCATGGAAATAGAAAAGGATAAAAATAGGGCATGCTTTTTTTTTTTTTTTTTTTTGAGGTTTCTTGGACTGAGAAGTAGAAAAATAGGTATTTTCCTTTGGGGATTTTTGGGGCTGAGAATGGTGAGGCTGGTATTTCTGAGATCACTTTTCCACTTTCCTCAGTCTTTAAGAGAGTGGTAGGCTTTGGCAGTCCGGCTGTTGACAAAATCTGTCTTCTTTAACTGAGCCTTTGGAATAAGCAAACAAGAATGTGAATGGTAGCAACATATCACAGACAAAACTGCAGTGCTTAGTGATCCCCCCCAGGGCCCGTCCAGCTGGCCATCGGGAGCTGGCTCTGTTAACCGGGACACTCCTTTTGAGCGCTCTTACCTTCTTGTAGGCATTGTGGAGCTCCGTGTGCGCCCACAGAGAATATAAGAGGACAGAAGCAGCTTTGCTTGCTTTGTTGGAGGCATAGCTGAAAGAAAAGAACATTGCGAGATCAGTGAGAATGTGTCTGAGGCTCCTGGAGGTGGCCGCTGGATGGTGTGTAAATCTTCTTTAACTGCTGTTCTCAGCCATCCATTACGTCTGGCCACTCAGTGACAAGAGAATCAAATGGGAAGCTTCAGATCCAGGCAAACACGAACACAGTGCTAACAGATAAATATTCTATAGAGCACATTTTTGATATTTATAAGGAATATATGTTATGAATCCTTGAATATACAGAATACAACTTATATTTGTATGTTTATAATGTGCGTATGTATATGTTTTACTATATATATAATTATATATAGATAATGCAAACTTAGTGACTCTAGGAAGGTAGGATTAATTTTTTTCAAGTTAATAAAATCAATTCTTGGAGCATTTGTGAAAATAGTGTCAAAATGTCTTTGTTCTTATGTAGAGCAAATGTAAAATGTGTTCCTGTTTTAAATCCAAGTTACCACTGAATTTGATATTGTATTTAATTTTTGATGTTCTGCTTTTGTCCTAAATTTAAATCTGTCCTAAATTTCCTGTTTCTGGCTAAGGTAAAAAGACTTTCTTTGGTCTCTTTCTCTTCTATCACCTGAACTACCACGTGGCTGAATTTTTCCTCTTACATAAAGAAACATATCTTTTATCTTTCCTATTATAGGAGTTGGTAAGTATGCAACCAAGAATAGCGAACACAAAGCTGTAGGGAGAGCGCCTACTGGGTTCATTCATCAGCTAAAAACCTTTCTCTCCCATGCCAACCTGGCAGAGAAGGTAAGTCAAATCAGCACCCTACAGATTTTTTTAGTTACCTCACGGACTTCTCAGAGTAGCCTGTTTATAACTGAGATACTAATTAATCCATGAAAGCTATGGTTCTGTAACACTTAAAATTAGAAAAAAGTTCAATAGCAAGTAAAGGGGAACAGAATACACCACACCCCAAAATACGCCTCTCTGGCATAAGGATTATTTTAGGCTGATTATTTTTAAGAAACAGGGGGCACAGGGAAAGCTCTGAAAACTGAGCATTTTTAAGAGACATTTACATTTATAAAGGAAGTCTATCTGTACCAGAAAGTGAAGGTTGACTAAATCTTCAGAAACTTTTATCATTGAAGGCAAAGACTTAAATCTGCATAACAATCCTTGCTTACTGTGCTTTTCATGGGAATCCCCCAAGATTGGCCTCCCCTCATCCCTAACACCTTCTTTTATCTTTAGCTGGAGATGTTATTTAAGGGGGAGGGTTGGGCCATTTCCAGGAGTTACTCGGTTTTCCTGGGTCACTCCCACATATATAGGAGGTCTACATGGTATCCAACTTCTGTTTGTTTTTCTCCTATTAACCTGTCTTTTTGATTGCAAGGATGTCTCAACCAAGAACCTAGAGTGTAGAGAGAAAATTACTTTTCCTCCCCCTCACAAGAGTGTTATATTTATAAAGTTTGTTTATAAGTTGGTTGTTGGCACTTGGGAACTCATTTATTCAAAAATAAAATGTTATAAATGACAATTAGTCCCCAGGGTAGCCTGTGTGAAAGGATTTCAATCTAGAGTGAAACCAGAAGATATGAAATAGAGAATGTCATGTATACCCCCTCAGAAGAACACAACTTATGAACTGGGAGACCAATTACTTGTAAATGTCTGGTTAAAGAAGACTGAGACTCTCCAGTAGCTTGCTACAGCATGGGTTACCAGAATTGCAATTTCTTTGATATTCCCAAATAAACTCAAATTCTGATAATTTGAGCTTGCCTCAGTTAACATGTTCATTTAGGTTGATACCTATAAATTATAAGTCTGTTATATAACATTCTAGCAAGGAAGTGATACTACTGTAATTAGCTAGTTGCTAATAACAGGAAAGGAACAAAGGGAAGACCAGGCATTATAGGTATGTTCCCTGCAAAACACTGGGGAAAGGGGATGAACAAAGGGAAGATAGACACATGCCCAGTAAAGTTGGGATGACACAGGGAAGGTACTTGCCTCTCAGTCACACCTGGGGACAGAGATGGTTGGCCGGAATGGGCATGGCCACTGCAAGCATGTGGAAATTTGAGATCTATAATCCCCTGAAGAAGTTCACTCTCTGGTTTCTCTTGGCACATGTGGCTCATGGCTCACACTTGGCTTCCTGGCATTCTCCCGTGTGGCCCGTGACCATGGGGACACCCACACACAATGGACTAATGGACCGCAGCTAGCCTAATGATGAATCGGACCTGGCTGCAACATGGAATGGAAACTGGACACTGGATCTGATTTTAGCCCTGCTGAAACCCCAGCTACACTTCTACAATGACTGGACTAAGGGAATGGGACTCTGGAAACCCAGGGATATAATTCCACAGAAATAAAGCTTTCTAACATATCTGATCCTCCTGTGGGGGTCCCTGGAAATTCCCCAAGGACCACACTCCCACTAGCAACAAGGGAAGACCAGGCACATTTTCTCCAGTAACAGACGGAGCATCAGGCACAGCCAGTAAAAAATCCTTGTCGATTTTTTTTCCCTATTTTTAAATGGGGCATGTGAGAACTGGCTCACAAATGGACACTTGGGGCAACAAAGAAATAACAGAGTAGCACACCCAAATGTTGTTAAGCTATAAGGAGTTTCCAAAAGTGATGGTGTCAGCGTAGGTAGTTAGCAAGCTATTCATAAAGAGAGGGAGCAAAGTGAAGGAGACACTGAACTTATTAACCTAGGGAGCTGAATTAAATATTAAGCTTAATAAACTGGGAAGCTGAATCAGAAATTGGGCCTGCTTCACTAGGAAGCTACAGCATCCCATTAAACTTGATTTACTAGGAAGCTATAGCATTCACAGACTCATTAAACACTCCAGGGGACCTCGGAGACTTAATCCTCCAAACTGGCAGAAAAATCTCCCTGGAGGTGCTGGAGCCAGTACTGGATCATCACAGGGAGGAGGGGAAATTCCTCTGCTGGGGACGTGCCAAAAGAAACCAGATCACGCAGCAGAACTCTTAACATGTGCACAGAAGTCAACATGGCGCAGGGGGTAAGGGGAGTGCTTCTACTTTGGGGCATGTGTAGTTAAAGCCAAAGTGGCAACATAAAGGGGCAGAGACTAACCTGGGAAAAGAATCAGATTGAATAGGGGGCACAAAACCCTGGTAGGTCCAGGAAAGGGATTGGCTAAGGGGAGGGCCCAACTCAAGCAGGGGAGAAATCAGGAAGTGGGTTAGATGGTTTGAATGACACCTTTCTCATTACCGAGAACCGAGAAAATACATGGAGGATTATCAGAAGTTTCAAGGAAGTTGCTGCTAGAGCCTGCCACCCTCTACATTCCCAAGGATGTGTAATTTCTCTTCACCCCAATAAAATTCTTGCCACTACCTTTAAACTTCTCCATGCGTGAGCACCTTGAAATTCCTTTCTTAAAACACCACAAAAGAACCCACTTTCGGCAGCAAGTGTATTCTAATGTGTTCATTATGACTGAATACTCAAATAATTAAAATCATATGGTCTTATGGAGATCTGCTTATAAGTTTGGATGACTACTCAAATAGTCATTTCTGTTTTGCAGCAATAATTCGTTGTTTCCACAAAACCAGAGCAACCGCTGTGTGCCAGGCTCTGGGGGAACAGGTGAATAGCCCCTGCTTTCAGGGAACGGACCTTCTAACTAGAGCTCCTCTTATTCATTTTTATAAATCTTTATTGTTGAACGTAAAATGTATTACAGATGTTCCACATTTTTCCCCCAATTGACCCCTCCTCCCCACTCCCGCCCCTTTCCTGCCTTTTCCCACACTATTGTCTGTGTCCATTGGTTATGCATATAAGTTCTTTGGTTTATTTCTTCCCACCCCTCAACCCCTTTCCCTTTGAGGTTTGTCAGTCTAGCAATGAATTTGTACTTCTTAATCCTCTCACCTTTTTCACCCATTCCCCCAACCCCCTCCCATCTGGCAACCAACAAAATGTTCTCTGTATCTATGACAAGGTTTCTGTTCTACCTGTTCATTTTGTTTGTAGATTCCATTGTCGATAGATATGTATTCATTGCCATTTTGTTTGTTCATATATTTTATCTTTTTCTTCAAAAAGACCCTTCATCATTTCATATAATAACGGTTTGGTGGTAATGAACTCCTTTAACTTTTTGTCTGGGAAAGTCTTTATATGGCCATCGATTCTAAATTAGAGCTTTGCAGGATAGAGTAATCTTGGTTGTAGGTTCTTGGTTTTCATCACTCTGAATATTTCTTGCCACTCCCTTCTGGCCTGCAAAGTTTCTTTTGAGAAATCAGCTGACAGCCTAATGGGAACTCCCTTGTAGGTAACTAGCTGCCTTTCTCTTGCTGCTTTTAAGATTCTCTCTTTGTCTTGAATCTTTTGCATTTTGATGATGATGTGTCTTGGTGTGGGTCTCTTGGGGTTCATCTTGTTTGGGACTCTCTGTGCTTCCTGGACTTGTATGTCTGTTTCCTTCACCAAGTTAGGAAAGTTTTCTGCCATTATTGTTTCAAACAGGTTTTTGATTTCTTGTTCTCTCTCTTCTCCTTCTGGCACCCCAAGATGCGAATGTTGGCACGCTTGAAGTTGTCCCAGAGGCTCCTTACACTATCCTCATTTTTTGGATTCTTTTTTCTTTTTGCTGTTCTGATTGGGTGTTTTTTGCTTCCTTATATTCCAAATCGATGGTTTGCTTCTTGGATTTCCATACTCTACTATTGAATCTGTGTAAATTATTCTTTCTTTCAGTTAATGCTCCTTCATTTCTGACTGTGCATCCATCATTTTTGACTGGTCCTTTTTTATGCTCTTGAGGCCCTAAGTTCATTGAGCATCCTTATAAGCAGTATTTTGAACTCAGCATCTGTTAGGTTGCTTATCTCCCTTTCATTTAGTCCTTTTTTTGGGTTTTGTTCTGTTCTTTCATTTGGGACCTGTTTCTTTGTCTCCTCATTTTGGCTGCCTCCCTGTGTTTGTTTCTGTGTATTACTTAACGAGAGGTATGGGGCTAGCTGAGACCAGATGCTGCTTGTTTGAAAGAATTTAGGAAAACCTGAAGCAGGATCCAAGACAGGCCAATCCTATGATTAAGCAAGTGGCAATGGCTTGGGTGGGCCTGAAAGTTGGGTGGGGTGGGGCGGGGCTACCAGTGTGAGTCAGGTTGCTGGAGTCCCAGATATGGCGACAGTCTGCCGCCCCAGGGAAGGGCTCACCAGAGGAACAAAGGCCTCTGACAGCACGTTTGTCCGAGAGAAAGCCCCCTCTCCAGCCCTCGCTCCAGTGCCAAACAGCTCAGTTCTTCCCTGTATGACTCTGGTGCCCCTCGAACTGCCTCCCCTCCAAGCTTAGAGGGAGAGAGTCCGATAAGCTCGTGTGCGGGCCCTTTAAGGAGCTGCCTGGGGCTCCAGCCGCTTCAGCTTCTGAGCCTCAGTTCCTGCAGGTTTTTCCAGCCAGAAGTTATGGGGATTCTCTTCCTGGCACTGGAACCCTGAGCGGGGCACCTGGTGTGGGACGGGGATCTCTCAGTCCTCAGGGAGGACCTTCTCAGCCAAGGTGTCCTCCTGAGTTTTATCCGCCACACCTGGGTGCGGGACAAGCCCGTCCCCTCCGCGGCTGCTGCTTTAATTCCGTAGTTGTAGGACTTCCATTCAGCTTGATTTCAGGCAGTTTTGAATGATCGTTGTTCTGTAGTTTAGTTGTAACTTTGATGTGGTTGTGGGAGGACGCGATACCGCGTTTGCCTACCCGCCATCTTGACCGGAAGTCTAGAGCTCCTTTTAATCACGTGACTCTGAATGGGGTCTTCCGAGTACAGGAGGTTTACGCAGGGTGGGGCTGTGGTAGAGGACACGATCATTCCAGGACACCACAGAACCCTATGCCCACCCTGTGTGGCCAAGCACATGTTTGCCCATTACAGGTGCAGTCCGTTTGCTTTGCAACTCATTAGAACTGGGCTAGAGTCATCCTTTCGTTTCTGGTTATTTACAAACGTAACTTGTGGTTAGCAAGTCAAATAACTCAGAATTGTATAAAGAGAAAAAGATAGTAATCTTCATGTCCCCTTTGGATCCCATCACTGTAAATTAATGGTAATAATTTGGTTACATGAGGTTTTTTATTCTCTTCCTCCCTTTTTATGTTTTTTATTATTATTTTTATTCCTCACCCAAGGATATGTTTTTGTTGATTTTTTAGAGAGAAAGGAAGGGGGAAGAGAGAGAGAGAGAGAGAGAGAGAGAGAGAGAGAGAGAGAGATTGAAGTGACAGAAATATCTATCGGCTGCCTCCTGAATGTGCCCCAACTAGTGATCGAACCTGCAACACAGGTATGTGTCCTGACTGAGAATCAAACCCACAACCTTTTGGTGTAAGGGATGATGCTCCAACCAACTCAGCTACTGGGCCAGGGCTCTTCCTCCCTTTTTAAATGGGGAAAATTGAGAGACAGAAACTGGGATGTGGGATAATGTATATACATTAGACCTTCTATTCTCAAATGGGAACGAGAGGTGGAAAGAGGTGTTACAGAGAAAACTGAAAATGCAAGAATTTATTATGTTGCCTCCCACTTCTTGTGTTATCACTACTTTTTCTTAGCCACCTGGGCTGACACTGGCCCCTCAGATTTCAGTGAGGAAAAGGTATTATTCCCTGTCCATAGGACTCCCACTCTGCCTACATTCTGTTCTTAAATTAGTTGTAGTTTTGAGAAACAAATTAATTTGTGTCAATAAAATGCTGGAAGCTACGGAGTTTGACTATCTCTGAATATTGTCCATGGTCCTCAATGACAATGTTTGCAACTAGATTTACATATGGGAGTGGTGGTGGGGAAGGGGAGACAGCCGATGGGTAGATAATAAAGAACTTACGTATCGCCTGCGCTGATAGTCATAATTTTCTGCAGGCCCCCAGTGTTTAGAAGATCCCGGGCATTCTGGGAACTATTCTGGGTTATGTTGTTCAACGTGTAACAGGCAGAGGCTGTGGTTTCAATGAGAAGATCAGTATTTGGAACTGTTTCAGGAATTATGGAAACCAAATCAGGTAGAGTTTCTTTGGCTACAAAATGAAAGAAAAAGAAAACTTGATTAAAAAGATTGTTCCTCAATCGCAAAATCCCAATATGTTTTGGGTAAAGAACATTTTAGAAAGAAAATACAACTGATTAATAAACATATGGAAAGATGTAGCCTAGTACTTGAGGTTTTTTTTTTTATCCTCACCCAAGGACATTTTTTGTTCAGATAGAGTGGGAGGGGGAGAGAGGAAGAGAGAGAGGGAAACATCCACGTGAAAGGGACACATTGAGCGGCTGCCACCAGCACAACCAACCAGGGCTGAGGACACACTGCAACCGAGGTATGCGCCCTTAGCGGGAACCGAACCCGGGTCTCTCTGGACTGCAGGCTGACGCTCTAACTGCTGAGCCAAAGCGGCCAGGGCTTGAGTTTTTTTTGTTTGTTGTTGTTGTTGTTAATCCTCACCTGAGGATATTTTTCCATTGATATTTTTAGATAGAATAAAAGGAAGGGAGGGAGAGAGAAAGAGATAGAAACATGGATGTGAGAGAGACACATCGACTGGTTGCCTCCCACACGACCCCAGCTGGAACTGGGGATGGAACCTGCAACTCAGGTATGTGTCCTTGACCAGGAACTGAACCCATGACCCTTCAGTCCGAGGTCCAATGCTCTAATCACTGAACCAAACTGGCCAGGGAAGGTGGGGGGAGAGAAACATCAATGTGAGAGAAACACTGATAGATTGCCTCCCATACAGGTATGGGCCCTGGCCGGGAACTGAACCCACATTTTGCTGCTCCTCACAGCTCTTTAATACTGTGCTTTGTTTATCATAGATGTACAACAAAGACTGCTGCTTAATTTGATTATTTTTTCATCTGAGTTTATGTGGCACCTTGAGCTGTACTTATCTCTCAATGATTCGGCATTGTACTTAGTTATGTGACTCTGAATTCCAAATGTGGCCATGGGTCCTTGAAGACGATTTCCAGCGCTGACCACCAGGCCTGTAACAGAGAGGTCCTCAATAAAAGGATCTGAACAATATGTTATCCTCTGGTAATAACTGGACCTGCCGGACAAGAAAGACATACCTTCTGCTCAAAGGCCGGAACACTTTCTTTTTTACTATGTTTAAGCTTAGATCTCGACCTCTGAAGCCACACTACTTTAGTTTCAGTCTTGTCTCTGCCACTTAATGTGGTCTGGGTAGGCTACTTAGCCTCTCTATGCATGATTTTTCCTAGTTTGTAAAATGGGGTAAAATAGTATCTACTTCACAGGGTTAAATGAGTTAATATGTGTTCCTGTATCATAGTGCCCTGTGCAGAGTAAGTTCTCAATAGAGATTAATTATTATCAAAAGTCTTCTTTGTAATAAGCTAAACCACAGAATTAAAAGCTTGAGAACATGAATTTTTCCTTCCAGAAAAATTAGGTTGAAAATATAAGAATAAGTCTGTGGCAATCACAATAGGATGTGCCCACTCAATCTCTTAGCAGGGCACAGCGATGGATGAGACCCGGCTGCCCACCTGTGAACGGTCACGGGAAAGAGAGCCCCGTGCTCCTCCCTCACCACCACCAGCGAGAACATCCACTTCTGTACACCAATTTTAAGGCGGAAATATAGGGTCATGTTGAAGAAGGAGTAGGAATGAGAGAAGACAGTCTTTAACATTTTGTATCATGTTTGTTTTTCTTAGAAAAGTAGTGTAACTATTTACATTGACAAAGCTTAACACTACAATATAAAAAGGGAGAGTGTCTCGGGGGATAAAACGTCAGTTTACAGTTATTTGTATGGAAAATAAGACAATAATTAATAAATTATAACACAAGAATAAACTCTTTTGCATACTTACAACTGTAAACTGACGTTTGCCCCACCCTGTACACACACACACACACACACACACACACACACACTGTGGGACAATTAAAATTCACTTTGGGACAATTAAAACTGGATCTTTGCCCAGACTGGTTTGGTTCAGCAGTTAGAGTGTCAGCCGCTGACTGAAGGGTTTCGGGTTTGATTCCAGTCAAGGGTACATACCTGGGTTGCAGGTTTGATCCATAGCCCCGGTCAGGATCGTGTGAGAGGCAACCAGTCGACGTGTCTCTCTCACATCAATGTTACTTTCTCCCTCTATCCCTTCCACTCTATTTAAAAAATCAATGGAAAAATATCCTTGGGTGACGATTACCAACAACAATAAAAATTGGATCTTTAATACTGAACTATAAAATTAAAGGCCTTATCATGATATAAGGCCTTTAATATAGGAAGGTTATAGCTCAACATCCTATTGCTGAGGGAGATTTTATTGAATGGCTAAGAAGTTAATGCCTTAAAAGCCAAGACATTAGTTGGATGTTTGAAAACATCTCTAACAATGAATGAATTCGAATTGAGATTCTAGAGATGTATCCAAACACCTCCTGTTGCTTGCACATACTGTACATTATGTTGCCTGATCCTGCAGAAAGCACTGTTAGGTATCGGTTACTAATCTCTCCCTGTTTGGAACAGTTCAATGACCAGCCTACGTGACCTGGTGGCAAAGGAGAATTGCAGGATGCAGATCTGTGGCCTCTGCAGGGGGTCTATTACTCCATCACCATCGAAGTTGTCTATCTTCAAATTTTTAAGAAAATATAAGTTTTAAGTTCATTTCTGTAAATCTAAGTAAAATGTGATGGCTGCAATCTGGGCCAGCACATGGCAAGTCTTACCTGGCCTAGATGTCTCTCATGAGAAACAAAATATGTATTTTCAAACTGATTTTCACTTCTTTCTGGCTATTAATACTCTGAACCAAGACAGGTCCTTTTACTCAAATTATATATTTGACATAAAGCCAATTTAAATTTAAAGACTGTATTTATCTTGCTGAAGCCTCTTTTCAGTGTCGTCCTTAAAATGAGGGACGTTGACTAGTGTGATCACCTTCCGTACACTGTGGAGCTACAGCTGTGTCTTCCCAACAGCCCTGAAGGCACCAGCATGGTGCAGTGGTTTCATCAGCAAGGTTTTAAAGATGGAGTCAACATTTTATTTGGGAAAATAAAATAAAGTCAAAGGACAATACACCTGATTGAAGTGGGGCACAAAAGTCCACAGAAGACAATGGGGAGAACACTTCCATAATTTTGAGAGTGCCGATGGCAAGGTTTCTTTCAGATCCCCTGGAAAATTTCCAGACTCTCTTTATATTTATAATGGGCATGAAACCATCTGTCCAGTGTTGTGCTGCCTGCTGTCTTTGGAAAGGACATGATTAAAACATAACCATAGACTACAATAGATCTCATGCTGTGTGTGTGCGCGCGCGCTCAACTTCAGGATAATCCACTTCATTGAAGAAAAAAAACCCACAAAAATTTATTTATAATTTTAGTGAAATGACTAATTTATGGAGCATTAGGAAGAATAATTAATTTTTAAAATATGTTTTTATTTACTTTTAGAGAAAAAGGAAGAGATGGAGATATCAATGTGAGAAAAACCTATCAGCTGCCTCCTGCACACCCCCTACTGGGGATCGAGCCCATAACTCAGGCATGTACCCTGATCAGGAATTGAACCAAGACCTCTCAGTCCATGGGACGATGCTCCATCCACTGAGCCACACTGGCCCGACAGAAGCATTATCTTTCTATTGTCTCATTCTATAGCTTTTGACTTGATTCATAGTTATCATATTTCTAGGTGTAACGCAAATAAATGAAAAATTATGTGATAGTGTAATATAGTTATCATCCTTGTCAATAACACAGACTCAAAAAAGGAACAAACATGCTTCATTGTATTTAATCTAAAACCATCTATGCTGCCCTGGCCGGTTTGGCTCAGCGGTTAGAGCGTCGGCCTGCGGTACAGAGAGACCCGGGTTCGGTTCCCGCTAAGAGCACGTACCTTGGTTGCAGTTTGTCCCTGGCCCTGGTTGGTCGTGCGGGTGTCAACCACTCGATGTGTCCCTTCACATCGATGTTTCTCTCTCTCTCTCTCTCTTCCTCTCTCTCTCTCCCGCTCTGTCTGAACACAAAATGCAAAAATGTCCTCGGGTGAGGATAAAAAAATAAATAAATAAAACCATCTATGCTGAATCTGCTTATTCAGTGATTTTATTTTTGGTCTTTTAAAAAAGTTATTATCTGTCCATCCATATGTTTCTACTCCAACACTGGCCAAGTTTCTAAGGTTAACAGCTACTGTGTAAGTGTTATTTTAATGTTTCAGAAGTGTGGTGCTTAAGCAGACCACACAGAGAACATTCTGAAAGACAGCTACACAAATTAAACAGACTTCACTGGATGGCACAGCTGAGGGTTGAAAAATATCAAATATATTACTTATCTTGTTAATTATTAAGTATGGTCAAAAGTTTTTCTTCTGTAGTAATTAAAACAGAAAAAAATGCTGGATATGAAGAAAAATCCTATTGGAGCTCCAGTGAGAAAGCCTACCCTTGACACCTGGGGGTGCACAAAAGTCAGGTCTAGTTATCACATCTTGCTCTTTATTCACATTTTCAGTCCATCACAGTAAAAAGAATGATATGGACAATGTTTTATTGCATCTGTAGTTACAATATGGTCATGTGACATCTTAGACACTCTTACTGACTCACCAATTTCATTACACAGGGAAAGATTCCGAGACAAATTCCTCAGCAGGGAGACTGCAGTCTTTTTTACACTTGGGTCACCAACATGCAGCATCTTCCGGGTGTGCTGAAGGCCGTTTTCCTTCTGGACCACTGTCTGCGCTACTGACATCGGCATCTGTATTGTAGGACACATTCTGTAAATACTATCGCATTTGACTTCATGCTAGTGATATGTTTCTGTAGATTACTAGAGACTGAGCAAGGCATTTTAAAAACTAGAGCCCTGACAAAATCAGCCTAAAGATACTGCCTTTAAATTCCTATTAGGGTTTCTTTCTTTTTTTATTTTATTTTAAAGGGAAATGTCTTATTTTTATTTTTTTTAATCTTTATTGTTGAATGTATTACAGATATTCCTCATTTTTCCCCCATTGACCCCTCCTCCCCACTCCCGCCACCCTCCAGCCTTTCCCCACACTATTGTCTGTGTCCATTGGTTATGCATATAAGTTCTTTGGTTTATTTCTTCCCACCCCCCAACCCCTTTCCCTTTGAGGTTTGTCAGTCTAGCAGTGAATTTGTACTTCTTTTTTTTTTTTCCTTACTCGAGGACATTTTCCCATTTTTTTGTTCAGGTAGAGTGGGAGGGAGAGAGAGGAACAGAGAGAGAGAGAGAGAAACATCGATGTGAAAGGAACACATCGAGTGGCTGCCACCCGCACGACCGGGGACAAACTGCAACCGAGGTACGCGCCCTTAGCGGGAACTGAACCCGGGTCTCTCAGGACCGCAGGTCAACGCTCTAACCGCTGAGCCAAACCGGCCAGGGCTGTACTTCTTAATCCCCTCACCTTTTTCACCCATTCCCCCAACCCCCTCCCATCTGGCAACCAACAAAATGTTCTCTGTATCTATGAGAATGTTTCTGTTCCACCTGTTCATTTTGTTTGTAGATTCCATTGTCGATAGATATGTATTCATTGTCATTTTGTTTGTTCATATATTTTATCTTTTTCTTCAAAAAGACCCTTCAACATTTCATATAATAACGGTTTGGTGGTGATGAACTCCTTTAACTTTTTCTTGTCTGGGAAAGTCTTTATATGGCCATCGATTCTAAATGACAGCCTTGCAGGATAGAGTAATCTTGGTTGTAGGTTCTTGGTTTTCATCACTCTGAATATTTCTTGCCACTCCCTTCTGGCCTGCAAAGTTTCTTTTGAGAAATCAGCTGACAGCCTAATGGGAACTCCCTTGTAGGTAACTAGCTGCCTTTCTCTTGCTGCTTTTAAGATTCTCTCTTTGTCTTGAACCTCTTGCATTTTGATGATGATGTGTCTTGGTGTGGGCCTCTTGGGGTTCATCTTGTTTGGGACTCTCTGTGCTTCCTGGACTTGTATGTCTGTTTCCTTCACCAAGTTAGGAAAGTTTTCTGCCTTTATTGTTTCAAGCAGGTTTTCGATTTCTTGTTCTCTCTCTTCTCCTTCTGGCACCCCCAAGATGCGAATGTTGGCACGCTTGAAGTTGTCCCAGAGGCTCCTTACATTATCCTCATTTTTTGGATTCTTTTTTCTTTTTGCTGTTCTGAATGGGTGTTTTTTGCTTCCTTATATTCCAAATCAGTGGTTTGCTTCTTGGATTTCCGTACTCTACTATTAAAAATGTGTAAATTATTCTTTATTTCAGTTAATGCCTCCTTCATTTCTGCCTGTGCATCCATCATTTCTGACTGGTCCTTTTTTATGCTCTTGAGGCCCTCACTAAGTTCATTGAGCATCCTTATAAGCAATATTTTGAACTCAGCATCTGTTAGGTTGCTTATCTCCATTTCGCTTAGTTCTTTTATTGGGGTTTTGTTCTGTTCTTTCATTTGGACCTGTTTCTTTGTCTCCTCATTTTGGCTGCCTCCCTGTGTTTGTTTCTGTGTATTACAGTGATACCTCGGTTCTCGAACGCCTTGGATTTCGACCAAATCGGTATTCGACCAGGAGATTCGAGAAACTTTTGTCTTGGAATCCGAACAAATATTTGGAACTCGAACTTCTGAGATGAGCCGAGTTGAGCCGAATGGCGTTCATTCGGCCCAGTGCGCCTTGCTTGCGTCATCAGTGTGAGTGCAGAGAGAGTCACGCTTTGTGGAGAGAGTCACGCTTTACACTGAATTTAACCCTTAGACATACTGTACACTTTTATTTCTTGTTGAGACTTATGTTTTTCTACATATTATATACAAATTAGGCCAGTAAATAGGTATTTTCTGGGGCTTGGAACGAATTAATCCAGTTTCCATTATTTCCTATTGGGTTTCATTGCTTCGGTTCTCGAACAATTTGGTTCTCGACCATCCTCCTGGAACAAATTATGTTCGAGAACCGAGGTATCACTGTACTAAATGAGTGGTATGGGGCTAGCTGAGACCAGATGCTGCTCGTTTGAAAGAATTTAGGAAAACCTGAAGCAGGATCCAAGACAGGCCAATTCTATGGTTAAGCAAGTGGCAACAGCTTGGGTGGGCCTGAAAGTTGGGTGGGGCAGGGCCTTAGGGAATCACCAGGGCGGGGCTACCAGTGTGAGCCAGGTTGCTGGAGTCCCAGATATGGCTTCTGTCTGCCGCCCCAGGGAAGGACTCACCAAAGGAACAAAGGCCTCTGACAACACGTTTGTCCCAGAGAAAGCCCCCTCTCCAGCCCTCGCTCCAGTGCCAAACAGCATAGTTCTTCCCTGTATGTCTCTGGTGCCCCTCGAGCTGCCTCCCCTCCGAGCTTAGAGGGAGAGAGTCCGATAAGTCCGTGCACGGGCCCTTTAAGGAGCTGCCTGGGGTTCCAGCTGCATCAGCTTCCCTGAGCCTCAGTTCCCGATGGTTTTTCCAGCCAGAAGTTATGGGGACTTCTCTTCCTGGCACTGGAACTCTGAGCAGGGTGTCTGGTGTGGGATGGGGACCCCTCAGTCCTCAGGGAGGACCCTCCCAGCCGAGGTGTCCTCCTGATTTTTATCCGCCACACGTGGGTGTGGGACCAGCCCGCCTGCCTCCGCCCCTCCTACCAGTCTCGATGCTGCTGCTGCTTTAATTCCATAGTTGTAGGACTTCCATTCAGCTTGATTTCAGGCGGTTCTGAATGATGGTTGTTCTGTAGTTTAGTTGTAACTTTGATGTGGTTGTGGGAGGACGCAATACCGCGTTTACCTACGAAGCCATCTTGACCTGAAGTCCCTATTAGGGTTTCAATTGAATTACTAGATAAAAACAGTTTATGCAGTATTTTTATATACGCTATTGGATTTGGCTAGCTACTATATTTTTTGCATCTGTTTATAAGTACGATGGGCCTGTCTTTTCCTTTCCTTTCTGTGGATCAGTCTGCCCTTTATTCACATTTCCAGTTCATCACTGTGAAAAGAACATGATAAAGACGATGTTTTGGAATCAAAGTTGTAGAATCAAAGTTACACCAAACGTACTGATTGTTGGCTCAGTCTGTTTTCTGTTTCTTTTTGCTCAAATTTTGGCATTTTACATATTTTAATAAACTTACTCATTTCTACAAAGCAGTTTATGCTAAAAGAGACATAGGGGCTGTTAAATAAAGAAATGTATTTCGAGTTAGAGGATCCGTAATTCTAGGCTGTGTATCAAAGGCTGTGTGTGCCTGCTGCTGGACCCGGCCCACCAGAGGTAAATCCCACCTGGAATTAGGCTGGTATCCCACTTTCGGAGCGTCTGAGTTCCAACTAGACTCTTCCTAGCATCAACAAACCTCCAACAATACTGAGGCCTTAGCTTGTGTCAGTAACTTTATACAGTTTTATTTGAAGCTAATTTAAGGCACCAAGCCAGAAATCTCTGTAATTCATGACCATTCTTCAGGGTGTATCTTCTCTGTTTATTTTATCTAAACACTGGTCGTTTCCCCCTCCTCCTAGATTGCTGTCCTTCTTACATTGTCCACTGTACCTTTCAGAACAGGGGCTCCTAATGTAGTGTCCAATGTAGGCTTCAGGGAGGGGACAGGAGGTCCTTAAAACTACTCTTGTGTTTATAATAAACATTCCCAGGGAAAGGGTCCATAACTTTCATTACATACTCAAAGTCTCCTCGACTCAAAAAAGTTCAATAACCACTATTTTAGAATGTTTGTTTTATTGTAAACAAGTTATAATTTGCCTTTCACTAATTTGCAGGACATTCCATTAGACTATTTGCTCTCCTCTGAGGAGAACCCCTCCCCTGCAGCCACCTGGAAGGAGGCTCTTCATTCTGCACAGCCCCCGTGTCTTGGGCACGGAGGCAGGTGTCATTTCCTCTCTCAAGGGAAGAGACGCAAAGCTCTGCTCTTCTGAGTCACTGCTATCCATCTCTGTCACCCCCATAGCATTCTTTGTCATCCCAAGACCTACTGGTCCTTTCCCAACATCCACTGGGGACTTGAGAGCCTGGTTCAGAGCCTTCTCTGCCTCCTGTTCTCCTTGCTCTCCTCCCCTCACTCCTATCATATTCTGCTTCAGCCTCAGCAAGAATTCCTGCCCCTTTATTTCAACCTTGACTCCCTACACCTCACATAATCAATTCTCTCCTGCCTTAAAGTTCTTTTTTATTTAGGGTACATGAACCATCACATCATATATTATCTTTCTAATACCCTTAACTCTTCTTTATCATTCTAGCCTTTTTTCCACCTACTCACTGAAACTGCAAAAATGATTTTATACTTGGTCACCAAATATGCTAAATAGTGCATTTACAGGTTGCTACTTCTGCAAATTTGTGGTCTCCAATCTCAACTAGGAACCAAATGTTGCTGGTCAACTTGCTGTTTCTTAGATACCAGTGGGGATTACTAAGCTTACACCAGAATGATACTTCTAAAATTTAATCTTATTATATTGCACCTCAGTTTAAGCCCTGGTCTGGCCGGTGTGGCTCAGTGGTTGAGCGTTGACCCATGCACAAAGAGGCTGCTGGTTCCATTCCTAGTCAGGGCACATGCCCAGATTGTGGGCCAAATCCCCAGTGGGGGGCATGCAGGAGGCGGCCAATTGATGTTCTCTTTCATTGATGTTTCTATCTCTTTCTCCCTCTCACTTCCCCTCTCTCTCTAAAATCAATAAAGGAAGAAAACAAATAACAAAACAAAACCCTGCCATGACTCCTGATTGCCTTCCGAATGATGCTGAAAT